AAAAAAAAAATGGAGATGTGTATTACAAGGAAAAATATCAATTCTCTATTGGCAAAAAAGTATAATTACTTCATTGTAATATGAAGATTATTTGTCCTTGTGATAAGTTGAATTATCATAGACTTGAACCATTTCTTTTTTGTGAAAAAATTAATCAAGTTTTTTACTAATTCCATCTATTGGAATCTATAAAGATCCATCTAATATTCTATGTATTTCTTTCTAAGCTATATAAAATAATAGATATACCAAGAAGATGACAAATGCCACTTCTTTTCATATAAGTGAAAAATAATTAAGAATATGAGATTGAAGAGTTTTTAGACTAAATGCAATGCCAAAATAGATTGAAATATCTTATTCATTGGTGCAAATATGATATTGATAAATTCATATAGAAGTCAGCTTAGAATTTTATTAATAAAACAAAAAAAAATTGATGTTTTTTATCAACATCTATTAAAACTAAGATGAAAAATAAAAAAATCTTTATTATAAAAGAAATATAATTTATTATAAAAGAAATATTTTATTTTACTTTCTGTCTTTATTGTAATTTTTGTAAATTTGTGGCATTTTTTTCTAATAAGACATTTATAACTTATAAATATTTCTAAATTCTAATAAATATTTAAATAATTAAAAGCAATTTTTAATCTTAATATTTATATAATTAAATGATTTAAAATCATATTTTTAACTAATCCACCAATTAAGATGCATTGGTAGAATTTACAAGGCTCATGAATATATTATAGTAATGATTAAGTTAAACATCATTGTTTTCTTGTAAATCATTTGATGATGTGATGTCACTTTTTATTCAATATAAATGTCAATAATTTTTGTAGCAATTATCAACCTTTTGGCTAAATTTTCTATAACACAAACATAAATCATATTTTCTTTGTCATTTCTTTTCTTGTTCAAAAAGAAGTTTGAAGTAAAGTGTATTAATTTGGATATCTTTTGCTTTCAAATTTTTTCTCCTATTAGAGTATGTAGAAGATGCCAAATATAATAGTAGTACAAATAATAGACTTTTATCTTCATAATATTAAAAAAAATGCTATTGTACTTCACAATTTGATTGATGGTTTCATTGAGTGATTACAGATTAGACAAAGACAAAAATAGGTCCTTTACATAGTCTTACAATCCCTAATATAATTAGCTTATTATTGCATCATTTTTCTAATTTATATTATAAACTAATTTTTAAAAATTTGCAGCATAAATTAATCTAAAATATATTTTTTATCAAAAGATTTGAATGTTGATTTATTTTTAGAAAATATTATTAAGTTTATTAAATATTTCTTCAAATGTAATAAAAAATATTTCAAAATTATGTAATATGAAAGAATTTTTCTTAAATAATAGAGAACACTTAGATAAAGCTTGGCATGAGATTAGAATTTCAATTAAACCAATACAAGATACTTTTATGGAAAATAATTAAAGATGGAATAAAATAATAAGTTATACTTGACTTATAAAGCCATAATTTTTTTTTTTTAAATCATTAAATTTCCTGAGAAGAATAATTTTAATTCTTTTATTGTTGGCATTGAATTGTTGTCTCAAATATAAATGTCTTTTTATAAAGTAGATGTTAATGATAGAATTTTAAAAATAGACATGGTTATTTTTCTCTTTAACCATTATATATGATCATATAAAGTTCTTTATTTTGCTTAAAGAAGATCTCTATTTAAACTCTCAATGCTTTGCAAATTTATAATTAAATCTAATTTGATTTTTTTTAAATCTATCATATTAAATTCTTCACTTTATGCCATAAAAATAAAATAAGTAAAAGAAATATAAGAAATCAAGAACATTGATATAAAAGAAGATAATTTGCAATCTCTAAAGTATTGTAATACTTTGAAGAAGAGAGATTTTTCACTTTCAATCCAAAGCAACTAAACTTCAATATTATCTTATGATAGTTTTAACAAACCATTACAAACATACTATTTAAATAAGATATGTCTATAAAAGTTTAACAAAACAAAACAAAACAAAACAAAACAAAACAAAAAAATAATAATAATAAAATATTTCTTTTAATTTTAAAAAGAAAGTTCTACAATAAGGTAGAAGAATAAGGTCAAAAGGTTTAAGTAGAGCCACAAAGATTGTGTTTTCAAGACTAAAGATTCTTTCAACATGACTCTTATATAAGGACTAGGTGTAAGGAAATTCCTTGAGAAGTTTTTTTGTTGATTGGAGATAAAGCAAGCCTCCAAAAACCTTCTACAACTATCTAAGATTCTTTGGAATCTTCTATGACCTTTTGAAAGCTTTTTAAAATTTATTAAAACATGTTAAAAACTTCTTTGATTTAGTATAAGATTTTAATAATAATTGGTAAGTATTAGAAATACACTAACATCTTTTTATACTATAGATTTTAAAATTTTAAAATTTTAATTTTTTTAAATCTTTAAATAAAAATGAGATTCTAAAAATTAGATATTATTTTTATTTTATAAATAGTACATTAAAAAATCATCTTTTAATTATAAAATATTTTTTTAGATTTATATATAATATATTATTTTTTAATTAGTGAAGATAATATAAGTGTTTTTTATATTCTTCTTTACTTCTAAAAAATATCAATCTGTAATTAATATATACTACCACAAACTTATCACTTTTTTTTAAAAAGATTTAACTGAATAAATTAGTGAAGGTACCTATTGTATTATATAATTTAAAAGGTAGTACAAAATTTTATATGAGCTAATCATATTATACTTGTTTTCTATTATGTATCTCTTTTAATAATAAAAATTTAATAATATAATAATTTAAATTAAATTTTATTAAAATACTATTTTATATTTAATTTAGTAATATAATTATCTAATATTAGTCATAAAAAGTTAATTTAAAAATTAATTTCTTTTTTCTTTTTTCTTTTTTTTATAAAATAATATTAATATATTTAATAGATGATTTTAATTTCTTATACAACATATGTCTAAAAATATATTAAGTTTTTTATTTGATTCTATTAAAATTGGCTAATTTATCTGATATAAAGTTTTCTTAGATATTTTAGTACCTATTATAATATCAATTTTTATCACTTCTCAATCCAAATTATAAGATGGCTTCAACCAAGAGTTTTTTTGTAATTGGTGGTATAAAAGGAGAGATAAAATTAACAAGAAACAAAGAAAAATAAGAACAAAACAAATAAAAGAAATGCAATCAAATAATTACACATTCCAAAAACTAATCACAAACTATTTATTAGATTTCTATCCAATAAAAAATAAAAGTAAACATTTTAAGTTATGTTTCTATATAGGTATTTTTTTATCTTTTTAATATCATAAACAAAATTTAAATCTAGACAATAAAATAGAGTCTTAATAAAATAAAATGTAGACTCACAAAGACTCTATTTTTATGACTTATTTTTTAATAAGACTCTTATACTTTATAAATCCTTTCAAACTTGAATAAATACTTAGATAATCAAATAAATCTTTAATCTTAGTATTTTTATCTTTAAATGACTTAAAACCCTATTTTTAATAATTCTTCCAATTAAAATATATTGATGGAACTTACACAATCTTATAAATAATTATTATTTGATTAAAATCTCATTCAATTAAAAAATTGAATTATTTTAATACCTTGCATTTATATCTATAAAAATAATAATATTTAAAATTAAGGTCTCAAATTTTAAATCATTATATTATTAATAAAAAAATAATAATAAAAAAATCAAATAGTAAAGAAAAATTAAAAATCTATAAATAACTTAACAATCTATAAACATATTTATTTTATGATATTAGAATTTATTTCCTTTTAAGCAATTATTCTAGTCAAGTTATTGAAATATAAATATAGAGCAGCAAGTGATATTTTCATTTTATTTTTTTAGTATAAGTTAAACATTATTGTGATATTATGTATAATTATACATTTTTTAAACCACTACTAGAAGAAGATTTGGATTTGTGCACTTTATATTTCTAGCTTTCTTAAAACATCTAAAACAATGATGCTGATATCATTACATAATGAGATTTCTAGTACCCTAAAAGAGTATAATTTTTTAAAAAATAAAATAGCAATTTATTATAAAGATTGATATTGTTATATTTTAAAAAATAAATTACATTATTCTAAAATTAAAATGATATAAATATTTACATGATAGTGTTACTAATTCTAATGTAATAACATTTACTTTTAAAAGATTAGATGTCATATTATAAATATTAAAACTAGATGGTGAAGAGGTTGGTTTAAATTAGTAAGGATGGTAAAAAAATTACTAACTGCACATCTGATTACAACTGAAACATCATAAATTATAATATAAATACAAAACCTTGTAATAAAAAAACATAAGGCACACATCTTAATAATGCAACATACACCATTCTAGAAGTTTAATTAAAATCTTTAATCCAAGTCACATTTTTAACTGCGATTTATTGAATAGACATTTTTGTACTAGAATTTAATAATGTTTTATCTAACGACTATAAGGTCTCAATCATTTTTGATGAATCCTTGCACAAGACTAATCCGTACTGCACCACAAGTAGAAACACAAAACAAAAAAAATATACACCTATGAATGATAAAAATGTGATACTATTGCTATTTCCATGAGTACTGTATGAAGAAAAAAGTTGAGAGGGAGAGAGAGAGAATGGAGGAATGCATGTAAGTGGGAAGGTGATCAAGAAGTAGGACGCAATTGAGGGACAATTGGGGACTGGATCACTGCAACTCCCAGCAGCCATTCCAAGAATGCACACACTCTGTCATCAGCTGCTGAGACTTGCAATCTGAATGGGCTGTTGGTGTAGATGTTTTGAGACCTTTGGGGCACTGCTGGCACTTCACAGTTGCCCAGGATATGGACATGGCAAGCAGCAGCCATTGCCACACCTCTCCTTCATGCACAAACCTCCATTCCTCCTCCTCGTTGTCAGCTCAGTCACACACACTCACTCACTCTCTCGGGATTCTTCACACCGGAAAGAGCATGGTTTGCGCAACTGCTCACCGCTGATCCACGAAACCCATGGCCTATTTCCCATGCGCGGCAATATGTAGCCGAGCCTACGACCGCATACGACGCCCCAACTGCGGTGCCGGGAGCTACTCCCCGGATCGAGAATGAAGGAGGGGAAGGAGGAAGAGGAGGAGGAAGAGGATGATGACGATGAGGATGATGAGGATGCGGGTGCATGGGAATAATTGCAGACCAGCAAGAGCCACTTGCGGGTTCCCAGTGAAGGCGCCATTGTTTGAATATGGGAGTTGCAGCATCAGAATGAGCTGTTCCAGGAGCCATTCGAAAGGGCAGTCCAGAATGGTGGTGCCCAGGTTATCTTATAATACCCGCAACCAGCAACGGACGCCGTGGCTGTGTACAACCTGAATGTGACATCGAGATAGAGAGAGAGCGAGAGAAAGGTCTGGCATTTGCCCTTCACTGCCCTTGCTGCCGATGGGACCATGCACCACCCACCGTGGATCCTCCTCCTTCGTCGTACCCTTCCTGCTCCCCTCCTCCCATTCTCTTCCTTCCCTCTCTCTCACTGTGTGCTTCAAGGTCACCTCTCCATTCCCGTCTCTGTGCAATGCATTGCAGTGGATCAGAATCCCAGTTTGATAAGTAGCTCGAATGTGGGGTCTGAGTGTTGTGGTGAGGGGAATCTTTCGATCGTCGAGATTATAGCTCCTCGCAGGGTTTTGAGGTTCGACGAGTTGGGTTTCTTCTCTTGAATTCCGTGGTGATGTTTGCGAGACCTGTGGTGCGATGGAGTGATAAATTTGGATGATGACGACGTCGTGTGCTTGCCTGGATAATGTGTTGGTCTGGTTGTGGTATTTGAAGGAGAATGCCTTGGGATGATTGAGTGGCACGATATTTGTGAACGTTGGATCTGCCTCATTAAGCTTGACATCAAGATCTCGTGGGTTGGCTTGTCTTGGCTGCTCAACACACGCTATATTCAAGTTTCTCATTGTTGGTCATGGTTGTCGTGCATGCTTGAAACTCTTCGAAATATTTTGAAACTCTCCGGAGATTCTGACGACGATCTTCTCCTTGTTGTGGAGTGAATAGAAGTGTCCTTGTGTTGCCCATCATGCCTGTATGTCTTATGAATGTGCTTGATCATTCGGTTGGCTGCAGATCTGCGTCTAGTCGTTGTGAGGCAAGAAGCGGTTCCTGGACTTCGCTTGGAGATCAGCTCGAGGACAAATCTGCGCTGATATTCTGAAAATCCTATATGCTGATAATTTGAAAATTTGAATTTTAGGGTTTGTGGACCAATGGATGGGATCATTTGCCCAAACCTGTGCTGACCGACGAACCATATTCAAATCTGGCTTCAGTAGTGCAGGCGGTGCATTATTCCGCTTCACTGGAACTTTGAGTGTGGGTTATCAAGCATTCTTTTATCTCAGACTCACAGCGGTCGGTCAGCGATGGCAGGAGCAGAGGATGAACCCTCCGGCGAAAGCAACCAGCCCCTAATCTCGTCCTCAGTTCCGGACGTGCGGTCATCTACATCCTTGCCCAGGTCCTTCAGCTATGGATCCGACAATGAACTTGAGGCTGGGAGATCATCCGGAAACTCTTTGCTCGGCAGCAGAATGAATTCAAGAGAGTCGCTCCTTGGAAGCCGCCGAGACTCGAGTAAGTGGCATTGTGCTTGTACTGTCACTTATTAGGGATGTTGCATTATTATCCAGCTGTATTTAAGAAAGTTTTTTTTTTCTTCGTTTATTTCGATTGCAATATTCTTTCTTCAAGTGGCGTAAAAGTAGTCGGGTATAGGACTGCATCTGGAGCCGAAATTACCTACTTCTTAAATATGAAATGTTGTTCAACGTAGAATTCCGTTTCACATTAAGGTAGGCCCCAAGACTAAAAAGCTATGGAATAGTTGAACAGTATAATGCGAGTATAATTTCTGCCGAAAAACGTGATCCATACTTAAACTGGAATCATGAAAAACAACCCCCTTTACATGCCTGCAGAGCATATTGTTTTAGGTTTTTCATGAGGATTTAATCAGCTGTTCCCTCATTTTGAATGTCGGAAGCCTATCTATGCTACACTCGAAAACGAAGGAGACCGATGTACACTGCGAATGTATGCGGCATGAGCTGATCAACTAGTGACTCGGTTACTCTAATTTACTTTAATCGGAGTGATTGTATCGTTAAATGTGAACGAAAGAAGGTTTCGTCACAGCTCTTGTGTCTAATTACTGTTTTTTGAGTTTGGCTTGGTTTGTGCAGTGTATGGGAGCAGATATGGATTTGGGAACGCATACATACAAGTAGATGATCTTGGGGTCTACCTCTCGTCGGTTGCAGTCACTCTTCTTACAGGCGTCATGGCTATAATCGGGATCATTCTGTTTACACTCGTGGTCACTCTAGCTGTGATGTTGGGCAAATGTCAGAAGAAGCCTGTGTCGAATTCGTGTGCGAGTTTTTCTCTCAATGCTGAGACTAACAATCTTCAGGGGTACCTCCTACCGCAGGAGTGTGAAGGTTTTGTTGCTGGATATGTTGGCTCCGGTCAATACTATTCTGATTTTGCGGTGGCTGTTGAGGCTGCTAGGACGTATTTAAATGCAATTCAGGCAAATGAAGACGGAAAGGACCTCATTGTGTTGGATATTGACGAGACATCCTTGTCGAACATGCCTTATTACATCGCCCACCATTATGGGTGAGCTGTTCTGCCCCCCCTACGCCTCCTAATAGTTGAAATCTATTCTCATATTCTACTGCAATAGTTTTATATTAACTATTTCACGACAAGACTATTCAAATATCCATTTTAGGGAAGGAGATCATATAGCAGCACCTTGGTGAATCTGTAACCTTTGATTGTTCAGTGTTGAACGATGGAACGAAGAAACGTGGAACGAATGGGTGAACAATGCGAGCGCTCCACCACTAGATGCCATGGTATCCCTGTACAGAGACCTTCGGGCTCAGAATTGGAGTTTTGCCTTCATCACAGGAAGGCCTGAGTCACAGACAGAGAAGACCAAGCAGAATCTTCTTGATGCTGGATATTCGGACTGGGGACCTCTCATCTTCAGGTCAGTAACACTTACATTTTGACTTGATGTACGCTTGTGATCATGGTCGTGGTTGAGCAGGTTTGCAATACTTTTGCAAGAATTGCATTTTCTGTTAAACCTCGAACTTCAGCGTGCATGCTTTATGCATAGGGCATACTAGATATCATGTCACCCCTACTTTTAGTGAGTAGCCATTCAGATTTCTATGTAGCTATTTGCATTCAGGGTTGCTATTGCATGCGAACATAGTTAAGTGCGAAGTTAAGCTCACTTTTCGTTCGAATGCAGGTCACCAGAGGAGGAGACCGTTTCTGCGGTTAATTACAAGTCTAAGTACCGGAAAATGCTGGAGAAGGACGGCTATCGAATTAGAAGTTGTTTGGGTGATCAATGGAGCGACTGTTCAGGGGGACACGCTGGAGAGCGTGTCTTCAAGTTGCCTAATCCTATGTATTACATTTACTAGTAGATGTGTTGTTATTCTATGTTGGAGACAAAAGTTACCATTGGTATTAACAGCCTAATTATCATAGTTTTGCACGCTCTTATTTTTTTTGCTTACCCATGTAAAGCGAGTTGCTTATGATTTTTTCACGATATTTTTTTGTATATAATGTTTTAATTGTTTGTTTGTTTGTTTTTATTTTTATTTTTCCAACATTAAAGCCGTAGAGGTGTGAGGGTTTGGTTGCCGTTACCAGCTTTTTGCAGTGAGATGAGAGCAGTCTGCGTTGGGCATTTCCTTTCTTGGCAAGACACGTCACTCTGCACCAGTTTGTAAACAGTTGACGCCACAAGCTTAGATTTCTTTAGTTTACTATGATGCGTTTGACTGGGTGGGAGTTGTATGAACACCATCGAATTTCCTCCTGTTACGGGAGCCCTCTACATTTGACTAGGAAACATTCTATCTTGAGGTGCTAATACGCCTTTTGCATTGGATGTTGGGGTCAAAAGAATATTGTAGAAAATAGTGTTTATCTAAAAACATGTAATAATAAAACGCATGCAAGTGGCGTTTCCTCAAAGAGACTTTGTCAAGATGCCTTTGTACTAAAGTTTGCGATGTTTCCTGTGAAGGTGTTCTACTTTGTGTTTGTGCAGTTGCAGTCCTTAATTTCCTCCGTGTTTCTGAATGCAAGCTGTTGTATCTCGTGGACATCTTTAAGCAAAAGTGGCATCTGGTTGGAAGCCAATACAGCCTATTCCATTTAGTAGGCGGTTTTTGATATGAAGATGGAAAGAGTGACACAAATTAATGTGTGATTGCTGTAGTCAATTTCCATTTATCCATGTCATACATGGAAATTGTACCATTTGTGTTCAGCAACTGAGCACTAGGACCAAAAAAATACATCTTCGTATGTTCTAAGAAATCGCCTGTCTGTTCGGAAAGTTCCAAATTTCATATGTAGATGTAGATACCGGCAACGAAAGCAGGATTATAGAAGGAGTGAAATGGAAATATTCGACTTGTCGAAGTAGGGAGTTTCTGAGCGTTGGCGTCATAGCTATTTTTGGGATGCTTGAAGGGACAATTCTATCTTGCAGTCACTGTTTCCATACAATGGTTTGATATCATTGTTTTATTCTTTGTTTCATTACTTATGACATTTTGCAATGCATAGAATGTGGTGTAGTTTATAATAACTCAATGTCCAAAAATGCATTATGTGCCTTGATTGTATTAAGAGAAATTTTTACGATGAGTTTTTTTTGGATAAATAATAATATCGAATTTATATAATATAATGTTATTAGAAGGTTTTAATCAAGACATATATTAATAACTTTATATACAAGAATTTTATTACGGATGTAAATTTTACTATTTCCAGATATTGTTTGAAAATCAATAACAACAATAATAATTTTTTTTATTTTTTGGAGAAGAATCTTGATAATTGATAGAAAAAAAAAGTTTTTTTATTAAATAATTTGAATATTTTTATTAAGAAATTCCACAAGAACACACTTATAGATTATATTCACAAAAAATTATAAATTTCAATTTTAGAAGTATGTTATATATATATATATATATATATATATTATGTCTGTTGTCTATTTTAGGAGCATGTAATTTTGATAGAGAAATAAAACTCACTTATTTTAAATACCAATTGAAAAAATTGTTTAAATAATTTTGTAATAAATTCTAATTTATATATTATTTATATCTTCTTGTCTTTTATTAAAACATACAACTCTATAAAATATATGCAGTTTTTTTGCAATATCATAAATAAAAATTTAAAATTCATTTATTTATTTGTTTTCTTTCCCAATTTATTGCATACTTTACATTGGAAGAAAAATATTATGAGTGTGAAAATATACTTCTTATTAGTATATATCACCTAAGGTTCTTTCTACATTTCTATTGTAGATAACACTATCCACCAAATTAAGAGGCTACAAAGCAAGAGAATTGTCAAAAAGAAGAACTCTTGAAGAAAACAAGAGACAAGAAGCCATGACTAATTAAAGTATCTCCAAAATAATAATAATAATACAATACCTTAAATAACATAATAATCCTATAAATCCCACCATCTACTCCAATTTTCATCAAACATCAAAGAGGTACATATTCCACCCATCTCTTGAAATAAATCCACAATTACAAGTTCTTTCTTGTGGATCTTGTAGTTAATCTCTGCTGCTGAAAAGTTTTTATTTGCCCACCATGTACTCTCACTTACATGGAAAGCCATGGAAGGGGTGAGGAGTAGAAGGAGTGCCACATCAGCTGCCACGTAGTGAAGGAGGGGAATCCGACATGGAATGAAACGGGGGAATTGAGGAGGAAGAAAGCATCACCGTGACGGCGGCGATGACGAGCGAGAGAGAGTGGACGTGCACGTCGGAGCAGCTCGGGGCCAGAAACAATTGGCGAGCCATCTTTAAAGGTGGTCGAATCTTTGACTCGCAGCGCTAGGATGTGTTCGTGACATGATCCTCCCCCAGTTCGCCATTGTTTCACTGCTTCTGCTTCTCCCCTTGACATCAGCACCTCGCCCCAGCCATGCATGTGCGTGTCGCACCTCCGATAAACTATCCCTTTTTGTTGCTCCTCATGTTGATCGTTGTGCTCCCTTCCCTGCATCGTGATCCATTTCAACGTCACTACAGTGGCAACTGGATCGCTGTCTTCCTCTCCTGATTATGATAGCAATTTCTGGAACGTGTTGTGTACCCAGTTGCAACACGACGATGGTCATCCGCACCCAACTTGCCCCTTGACAAGTCCTCACCTCTGAATTCTGCATTCCCATCATCATCCTCTTTTCAAACGGGATATTCTCGTTTTCGAGTGAGTTACTCCCGTGTGGCGAATACGGAACACGCCCACAGCCCTTTGACGCGCTTGAATGCTGGTCCTGCTTGAGCAAACTCCCAGTCCCTTGGTATTGTTATCAATGACATCAACCAGTCAGTGCTGTGACCGGCGTATTCTTACGAGTCACCGTCATGTTTTATGTGCGCATCACTCTATGATATCCACCATAATTCTTCGGAAATATAATGTGCTAATGTGGTCTTTGTATGTTGTTCGTGTACTGAATTAAGTACTTCTGGTTCTCGAAGTATTGTCAAGAAAGTCGTAGCACATGATTGATTAGTTGGTGCAGAGGAAGAAATCGATCATGGAAACGTCACAACATCTAGAAACACAAATTCAATGTTTGTGACCTAAGTGGACGTGAATTCCTTGGCTTGGACCTACTGGCTTGGAGTAAAACTATCCCCTCCTTCCAACTCACTCGGCAGTGTTGCATATAACTAGTGAACAAAGGTGATGTTTGGTTCGCAGGTAATTCCTTGAGAGATTCATTGGCTTTATACATCGGGTTTCACAAAACCAGAAACATGCATTTTAAAATATGGATCGAATGGATTAATTGTTTTGACATATATCATTGTTTGACTTGGTAACCATTATAAGACCAAGACCCCTGGAGCTCTATAATCTGCCTGTCGATGGCGCTCTTGGTCAGCATCCAACACTAGCGAGCAGCTCCAGAATGAACTTCGTTCCAGTAATAGCTTTCTAGTTGCGAAGTTGTATTGCTGTGTTATGTTTCTGCAGCGCATTGATCGCTTGTAGAGCACTCAAGTTGGATCATGCCGCTTCGACACAGTATACCACGACGGTGAACTGCGTGGTGGAGGCGAGCTGTAACGTAGTTTACGGAAACAAAAGTAACAGAGTTTATGAAAAAAATGTGCCGAGTTTGAAGTGTGTCACATTTCTGGATTTGAGAAGTCTGACTGCAGCAGGTGTATCCATGAAAATCTTGTCCATGATACATGAAATTTCTGAGGTGGCTTCTAGGACATAACACAGGAAAATTTAGTTTTGGATGAGCTTGAGCACATCTGAGTGTGTACGATGCTGGAAGCATAGGAATGTTTGTTGGATTGTGGACTTCTGGCACTCGAATCGATTGCGACTTGACGTGGACGTTGGAGTTGAACGAGGAAAACCTGGTGGTTAATCTCTATCCGTCACTGCAAACTCCTCAGGTATCTACAATGGGAGGTATCATGCAGGCGTCCTTGAGTTTTTCCGAAGTGTACAGCAACAGCGAGCAAGAGTATGAATTGGGATGTCCTTACCACAGCTGCATCGTGGATGATTTTGACGAGGTGCAAACTTCAGCGCTTCTGAGCAAAACTCACCAGCGTGACGCACTTTTGACGTGGCGAAGCTCGACGCAGCAAGTGGCACCTGCATCCCGATCCAGCCCTTCCCTCACTGTCACACTACCCAGTTGCTCTGAGGTTGACATCAAATCGTCGATGTTCAGCGACCTTGCAGGCGTGTTGCAGGATCCTGAGTCATCGTCTGGGTGTCAACTGTTTTCTCTCCCTGCTAGTCCGTGGCGATCAAAGCGTGTGCACTGCAGCAACCTACAAGGATTGAACATGGGTAATGCACATCTTTCGGTGTATGGTGACGGCGTTACGCCGCCCCTAAGTGAACACGACGTTGACGACACGTTTCTCTTCAGCAGCATGAAGAATGACTGGACGATTCTTTCACCACTCAAGACCGCTGGTACTATGCCTAATCTCCCATCACCTCTCGGGAGGGAACTATCCCCAAGACCACAACTTACGGCAGTGAAGGAGGAGCTAGTATATGTTTCGGAGCCTATTGCACCGTCGAACGATGAAACTCAACGTCCAGTTACTGCTCCAGCACCGAAGAAGAGCCAGACATCAAACGGGGCTACTCCAAGTCAGAAAGCAGGTGCGCCCAGGCAGTCTCACATGCATTACAGAGGGGTAAGGCAGCGGCCTTGGGGCAAATTCGCGGCAGAAATTCGTGATTCTAGCCGACAGGGATCCCGGTTATGGCTGGGAACTTTCGACACTGCGGAAGAAGCAGCGCTCGCATATGACGATGCCGCTCTTCGGCTCCGGGGATCCCGTGCGCTACTGAATTTTCCGCTTAGAGCAGCCAGTGGGCGAAATGTTCAGCTACTGACAACGAGCAGACCTAAGGCACCCAAGCAGGCTCCAGCTTCCAGAAAGCCTGAATCACAGTCCCAAAACAAGTCCGGCATTAATTCAAATCAACCTCGAGGGCAAAAGCGGCCTCTGAACACTCACGAAGGTGATGGTGATTCCAGCACTATCAGCAAGAAATCCTGCGACCTCACAACCTTTGATGCTGCCGCTGCTTCGCTATCTGCATCATCGCCCGAAGGAAATAGCAAGGGACGCCGCGAAATGGAAGTCGCAGTACCTGATCGCACGATGACTTGTGCACAAGCGTTGGAGGATTCGAAATTGAATAATTTTCTGGAGGTTCTGCTCAAGTCACCTCGACAGGGTGGTGCTACTCCCACTTCAAGCACATGGTGCTGGCCACAAATGAACTACTCACCGCTGTCCCTCTTCATGCCTCCGTTATCGCCGGCCATAAAGCCTCCCAGCTCCCCACTGTCTAGCCCCCTTCCCCTCTTCTTGTTTTAAACATTACCGGATTCACCGTTTTTACCACTCTCTTTGCTATATTGACATGAATCTTGCATTCCATGTTCAGTCTCGGCTTGTTGCCAAGGAGCTCTGGCACTTAACTGCGTTCACATCAGCCATCAAGGACATTGACAGTATGGTCACGTGCTGAAACATATGAGAGTGATTGGGACGCATTTTGTGTTTATTTGAAGAATGGAAGGCCGGAATAACCACCGAGGCTTGTTGAAGCATGGCTGCAACTTTTGATCATCTGTAGGAAAATGTGATAGTGTGTGTATGTGTGTGTGGATGATGGAGCTTAATTATCTGCTTCCATGAAGATGCTGCACTTCAGAGAGCACATTTACCGGTCCATTTCCTGCAACAAAAGCTCGGGGTGAAGAAAACTTTATCATTTAAACATCGCTACAGAGAGTTTACCTGTAGTGTGTTGTCTGAATCTTACGTCCACAAGTGCAGCTGAGTCTATCCGCAAGAGATTGAGTGATCATTCACTTCTTTTGTTCTCACGTATTAATAATCTAAGAGTTTAGAATTGTGCATGAAAGATGATCCTGCCTGAAATCTGGTGAAGCACAGTCAAAAATCACAATTGCCTCAGGTGGTCTCAGGTGTGAGGTCTCCATCTTGAGTATGTAAATGATTTCTTTTAATACAATTTCTCAGTTGCAAAAGCCCTACTAACCTTCCATGGAACTTGTTTGTTGCCGTCTGTAAAATCCGTTCTCATCATGGCTGCTTCAATCCATCAACCTGCAGACCAGTTTCGTATTTCCTGTTCACCGGCTGATCCGTGAGGCTCAGTCGGTAATAAATCTAAAAAAAGAAAAATTCCACCTCAGATATACTGAACAATGTCAAACTTCTGCGTGAGTGCTGATTCACCAGATGCTTTTACGCAAAAAGAGAGAGAAAGAACCAATTTCGGCCATTCGTTTTCCAATCAGTGTCAAACATCAGAAAATTTGTAAAAATAACTAAATATCATGCACAGATAGAAATGCAGGGACTTTGCAGTCTCCAGGAGAGTGAATCCTAGGGGGGGGGGGGGGGGGGGGCACCGATATCCGGGCTCCCGTGAGAGCCTAGCAACCCGAGGTCACGGAGTGGGTCAGAGGGCCTGCAATTTCCACCCCTCGCACCATTGTCGTGGCACTTTTCCTGGAGGTTGACGTTGCTTGAGCTTGAGTTTGAGTTGGAGACTGGATTGTCTACCGTGGACTCGTACTTGGATTTCTCCTGGTCTGGAGTGCGCATAGTGTTGCCATCTAATCTGCAGCAGCAGCAGCAGCAGCCGTAGCAGCAAGAATCACGCCATCGGCACAGGTACCACCAAACCGTGATCGTCCCGCATGGTGAAGCGCGTTTGAGGTGATGCCTCACCCTCCTCTGATAGTGTTGTGTCCACCCACTGCTGGGTCCAGTCAACATCACCTAGAGGCTGCTTTAATCTATGGGTCTCTCCTCCCCGGAAATCAGGTTGCACATGAAGCATCCTCCTTCACTGGCCTTCCTTTTCTTCTTCTTCTTATTCTTCATCTTCTTGTGCTGCTGCTGCTGCTCCATCAGACTGTTGGGCATGAAAACCAAACAGTGACTCATGCCTTCCTTTCCTCCTCCATGCAGCACATCCACCTTCGAACTTGCCAAACACGACCCCCCCCCCCCCCCCTAGAAATCAAGACCCTTGCCCATCATCAAGTTTGAAAGATGTGCAGGACTTGTGATTTTTTTGTTGTTGTTGTTGTTGACAAAACCCAGCTGCATGAGAAAAAGTACTGAGCTTTGCTCTTTAATTGCTTTCTTTCTTTCTTTCTTTAAATGTGTGTATGTGTGAATGTGACAGAATAGGCTATTTTTCTGGGTTTGTACACTGCACATGTTCACCTCCTGAACACTCCTTTGCCAGTACATGGAAATCTGAATTGTTTGTACAAAGCACCATTGCTTGAGGAGCACATCATTGTTTCGGACACTAAAGATTTGTTCAACATCATTTTCATTGGCTTTGAAAATGTGTTCTGTGTAGGTAGTTAGGATTTGGTTTGTTTTATAATTGAAGCTTTTGATGAGGATGTGAACAATGCTTGAGGTTGTTATTGGTGGGGATGTTGATGTTTAGGTACTTTGGCTTGTGAAGAATGATGAAGTCAACTCAATTATTTTTAATCAATGTTTAGCAGCCATGCATTGTTCATGTGGATTTTGTGTATTTCAAGCAGATTAACTTGAGTAGAACTAAATGTGCAAATAAAGGTGGCAAGGAAATCCTTGAATATTTAAATTTTGTGTAGACCTTAAACACTTAAAAAGCATGAATTTTCTTGATTTGTTGTTGTTTGATTTAATTTGTACATGAAATGGTGTTAGATTTAGTATTTTCATGTGATGTGTTATATTTCTAGAAAAATCATAGTAAAATTAATGGATATTCAGATCCTAGTCTCATAATTTTTCCAATACATAGTGAGTGTACATAACCAATGATGCTGCAGTTTTCCCAATTCAATAAACATAACCAAATTAAATTGTGCTTTTTGTGGTCTTATTATGAATCATGTTACACAAAACCTAAAGAAAAAATCTTAATAAATTAAAATAATCATAATTATTTACAAAATACATTGCACAAATAGAAAACTAAATCTATGAATATTTGGCTTAATAATATTTCATAATTAAAATTTTATTCTAGTATTTTACTATTAGGATTTATATTTTCTAATAATTTAATAATACACCTTAAAACCTTTTATTTTATTAAATTTCATTGAAAAATCAATTATTACACTAATTTCTTTAAAATATTAAATATCTAAGCTCGTTAAATTTGAGTGAAAAATACCATTTAAAAAAATGTATTACTTTATGTGTTTCATCTATATATATATATATATATAAATATATTTATTTATTTATGAAAAGTATAATAAGATTTGATACTGGTTTTTCATCAACCAGAATAATTATTATTATATAAATTAAATTATGGAATTTAGTTTTATTTGCATCTGATTTTGTAATAAGTTTGACAAGATTTCTTCATATTTGCTTTAACATGTTAGATACATATTTTATAGTATCATTTTTTTTAATTGATAAGTTTTTTTTTAGAAATTAATTATTTAAAAAAATTATTATGAAAATTTAAGCTATTAATATTAATTATTATTAAAATATTTTTATATAAATAAGTAATTTTTACTCTAATTAAAATTAATTGATTCTTAATTCTTTTAAAAGGTCTTGTCTTCAACTTAAAGAGAAGGTTCATTAACACATAGAATTATTTATTCATTTATATCTAAAAAAATAAAAATTTTCTATTAAAATCAGTATTTTAGAACATTCAGTCTTTGTTACAAGAATAACACTGACAAATATTAATAAATTCAAAATAATAGGCTACGTTTTTATAAAAAAAATTAAGTACTAAAAATTAATATATTATATTTTTAATTTTTAAACCATTCATTTCATTGAATAAGTTATCATAAAAATCAAATCATTCTTAATAAATCTTGTTATAAGATTTTTTATTTATTTATTTAAATATATATACATATATACATATATATACACACATACATACATATATATATATATATACACATACATATATACATTTATAGAAACTTTTGTAAAAGTAACATTACAAAAAATATATTGAATAAGCTTGTAAAAAGAAGGTGTTGTAGAAGAGATTCTTATAAGCTACTGCAAGAGTGCTTAAAGAATCTTGTTGTACAAAACTTTTAGTAAGGTTTTACCTCTTGTGATTCTTAGTAGGATATTTATGGCCTACCAATAAAGTTGGTTGGGTTCTACTAAGGTTATTAAAAAATTGGTTATTAATTAAGCTCTAAAAGTCTCAACAACATAGTACAAAAGAACTTTGTGAAAAATGATGTCTCTTCACATAGAAAAAAATTATTTATTCTAAACAACAATGAAGAAGATGGTGTTAATTCCTCTATTGAAACAATACCATATGACATAATTCAACATTCTTGTCTAATTGATTGTATCAAGGAATGCAATTAGGGTAAAAGTTTAAGAAGATAGTTCAAGAGAAAGGTATTTTCAATCATAATCATCTACCTTTTCCATTCTCACACCTTTGACTAAATATGGCTTAAGATGGGAGGTTATGGTTGCCATTCATTTGTTCATTTGGGATAACAAGAGCCATAAAAAGCAGACTTTCATTGTGCTAATAATATGGATACAACACAGGCAAGCTTGAACACCTTGGAGGGGGTGCATGGCAAAGATGGTGACAACACTGTTGAAGTATGTTGACAACTTGTCAGAATTCTTGCACCAGAGTAAGTCTCCAACTTCTATTGACCCATCAAAACCAACAATTTTCCTCCACACTACACACACAGAGAGACTCACTTTTCATGGGTTCTGCTTTGATATATATATATACATACATACATACATACATACATACATAGGCATGCATCAGATGATGTGGCTTTCAAAACCCTAAAAGTGCCACCTTGAGGGGTAGCAGGCAGCCTTAGAAGTCAACAAGGAGGGGGGGGGGACAAGGGGAGGCATGGAATGAGAGTGGGAGCACAAGTGAGGAGGAGATGTGTGTGTGTGGGAGCTGCAATGTGTGGATATCTATGAGGGACCCAACAAGGGCAATGGCAATGGCCAAGGGGAAAGGGGAAAGCCCAAGGAAAGAAAGGAGAAAGGACTTGTATCTACAACAAGTCACCCACAACCCAACGACCACAATGGACCCAGTCAGTGGAAAAGCTTATCCCGTGTGAGCCTCCCCTCCCCTTTGGTGGTCCCTTCCCTTTCCTTCCTTGCTTCCTTCCTTAGTGCTTACTTTCTCCACAGCTACACTGATAAGAGATTCTTCACCCTCCTCCTGCTTGCAATCTGTGCACAATCTATTGGCCCTTCTGCTCACAAATCGATGTCGAATAATAAACTCATTGCATACTGTTCAACCCACGTTACACATTCTGTTTGCTGATGACACACAAGTCTACTTACCCATGGTGGATGAGTCTAGAATGAAAAGTTTGTTAAGACCAGCGTCATTAAAGGTAATATTAGATGCAGATATCAAAGGGGTGTGGTCTGACTGGAGGAACCCGGATTAACACGGTAAATATAAATGTATATATATATATATATATAGAAAAACTCTGCTCCTAACTGTGTTGTCCGATGCTGTCCTATTCCTCAAGCATTGATCACCGCGTGCGGTGCAACACAATGTGCCGTGAACGTGTCAAAGCAAGGCTGCGGGGAATTGTCTCTAGCCTGACACCATTCCGTGATTAGCATCAGCAGCAGCCTTGCTCTAGACCCGAATAGAGCTTTTGTATCTTGTGAGAAAAAAGTGTTTCGCAGCAGTGCGCTGCATTGGGTGTGAGAGTCGGTTAAGCTGTCGTAATGGTACGTCTGTTTATATGAGGAGAGTAGAACCCATATTCTGTACGAGTTTCTGGCCAACAGCAGATTCGCGGAGGTTGGTGTTTTCTGTCGGTCTGCGGCGTGGAATCCACGTAACAGACGAATGATACCGTAGGGAGTTGATCTGCCTGCGAGGCGATGGCAAAAAAGGAGGGGTATCGTGGAGAAAACGGTAGAGAGGGGGGCAGGAACGAAGGAACGAAGGAACGCAGGAGAGCACGGCATCATCATCAGCATCCACGCTGTGCCAGTAACACTCTCGTCACCAAGCCTACATGACAATCCACCCTCGCGGAGTGCGCTTCTCACTATTTGCATAGCTCCGTTGACCGTCAACGAGACATCTCGCGGAGTTCGCATCGCACCCCCGCCCCTTCCCCTCCATCCATCCAGCCTTGGTCAGGTCGCCACACATTGATCGATCTCAACGATTATGCAGTGAGTGAGCAAGCATGCATTTTGACTTCGCTTAATCTGCTGCATGTCTTGACCTGGAGCGAGGTGTGGGTTGAGAACAGCGTCCTCCGTGCACGGAAGCTGCTGTCCTCTCGTCGAACGAAGAATAATCCGGTTCGTTGAACTGCTAGGGAAGTGGATATTTGGTGGGGGTATTTAGTGCAGATTCATACGATTCGGACATTTCCCTTGTTTCCGGTGCAGCATTCAGTTTGACTTCATTTGCTTCGAGCAGGAGGAAACCAGAGAAAGAGAATGTGACCGTACCGTGAGCGTGGCTTGTCAGCGAGCTTTGGCTTCCTCGCTGCTGAGGTCGTGGCATCGGCCAGTCAAGGTGAGCTCCATGCAGATTTTGGGCGCATGCATGTTTTTGGGTGCTGCGGAAATTCGAAACGTTGTAGCCATCTGATTTTTGTGGAATGCTTCCCCTGAGCTCTTGCGTCTCAAGCCATGGATATGGCTGCTGCATCTTGGGCCTCTTAGTGGGTGTTCGCGGCAAAGTTTGGCTGTCCCGGTGTGTGGTGAAGGAACCCTCAAGCGGCTCCATGTCCGAGCTGTTGACTTGTTTCACTTCTGCGCGCTTTTTTACGTATTCATCAGCTGTCTGCGCCTATTCTATCCCTCCGACACTTCAAAATTGCCTCAATTACTTTTGGTGCAGGCTTGGCGGTAAATTTTTTGGTTGCAACCAACGTCGCAGAATCATCGAATAAAGGCGTCTCTTAGGCCGGAAACAGAAAAGTAGTGTCCTCAAGGGATGTTCAGACCATGGATTTTCAAGACATGAGGGGTGCGTGATCCTACAAGTCAATGTCACTGTAGTTTTAGGTTGATTTTGGCAAGTGCCTCTATTGATATTCAACCGCAGAGGAAAGAGAAATCTCTGGAGGAAAAAGCCCGGGGGCGCCTGGCTGGTGAATCATTTGTGGAGGCGTCTCATGTTGACCACTGATTTTCCAATTGCTTCGTGGTTTCCACGAGGATAGTCACAAAAATCATGAGGCTGCTGGATTTTTCATGTCACATCAGGCCCTAGATTAGTTGTTCTAACGTAGCCGATTGCAACAGAGCTTCATCGATGAATTCCGGCGGCCTGTCGTCCTGGAAAGATGCGGTGGACCGAGCTCTCGGTTGCAGTAGCCGCGATCTTCCAGGACATCCTAAAGACTGCAACAATATTAGAACAGATAGTACAACGGTGGAGAGAAATACAAACAACGCTAAAATGGAGCGACGCAGATCGAAAAAGCAACTTTCAATCGAAATTGAGCAGAAGCAAGGCGGCACCACACACCCTGCAGCGCCTATGGATCCCCAGATCTGGGGAAACCTCCCATTCCACTTACTGGAGTCCATTCTAGCCTGGCTTCCAGTCTCAAGTTTGCTTAAACTCCGTTGCGTCTGCAAAAGTTTTAACAACATTGTCTACTCCCCAAGTCTGTGGGAGACCTCGCGACGGATTCGTAGTTCGACAGCGTGGTATCTATTTCGAGGAGAGGGGCGTGAATGTGTGGCCTTCAATCCGCAGGCTGATAGCTGGTGTAATCTCCCGCTTGGATTTCTGCCCAGCTCCAAGGGAAGAGTTGTTGCTACCGCTGGTGGGCTGCTCTGCATGCGACAGGGTGAGAAGATGATCATTTGCAACCCTCTCAGCAAAACGTGGGTGGAGCTTCCTCCCAAGCGGAACACATGGAAATTCCCAATCGTTGGTACGGTTCTGACACTTGGTTACAGGCAATAGCAACCCTATACATTTGTGGCCTGCAATGGAAATGGTTTCTTTGTGAGTACATGGAGATTGCGGTCTGGATTTTCGCACTGGTATTGCACTTTTAACCATCTCACGTTACGATCCAAAATCCAGAATCTAAGCGTGGTCTCCCAGAAATCCCTCCACCAGAAAAAAAAATCCGACGTGGTAGTTGCATTGAACTTCTCTGTGATTTCTTATATTAGGTAAATCAGTCAATAAGATATTTTTAGAAAATGGGACCTTGATGCTTTTTGTATTTGATTAAATGGGCTGTGGGTGAGAAGGAATGGTAATGGACACGAAGACGAAAGAGTACAAGGTGGTGGTAGCAGGAAGCAACTCCGCAAGCTGGGGCAAGAATCTTGTCACCGAGGTTTACAGTTCACTTACCCGAGCATGGAAAGTCGTTGAAAGTCATCCTGTGCAACATCTATATCAAACCAGTGCTATCCATTGCAATGGTTACCTCTACAGTGCAGGTAACAATCATTCTCCGACTCTCAGCTCTCAATCAACTGATCTACTTGTCTCACTACATTAGACTGACACCATTTAGGGGACATACATTGGAGTGCAGACCTTACCGGGACTAACTGAATCATATCGACACCATGCAGGATTTGATGCAATTCTAGCCTACGACCTGCAGCAGGAGAAATGGAGAGAGCTGAAAGGGCCTGCCCTGCAAAATACGCAGCTCATGCTACCACAAATCTGTGAGTGCAATGGCTGCTTACTTATGGTCGAGGTGGTGAGCGAGCACTTCCTCATGTCCCGAGTCTCCATTTGGGCACTGCGGCAGTTCGACAACCAGTGGTTTAAGCTGACCTCCATGCCACACAAAATTCTTGAGGAAGTCATCAGTATCTCTGGTAGATAAACCCTTCTCCGTATGTCCATCTTGTTCTTCTTCCCCTGGATCCCTTTGCACAAGATTGAAAAGGATGAGGTTTGTTATTTTTGGGACAATATCTCGAGCAGAGTAGCATTGTCAGCTGCATGCACACGCAGACCAACGTGCTCATGTACGTCTTAAATAACGCACTTTGCATTGGCTCAAATGATGTACAGGAACGAGACTGTTCACATACTTCGGGCATGGCGACCTCATCTGTTTTACTATCGCTAGACGAAGAGTCCTGGTGTACAGTATGAGCCGAAGGATGTGGAGATGGCTGCCGCGTTGTCCATTCGTGCAAGGATTTGCGCGTCGATTCACAACTTTAGCTTATGAGCCTCGAGTGGAGGCCATGATTTGAGAAGTCTAGACGTCCTCATCAGATATCGCAATACACGAATAAGACGCCAATGACGTGAAGAGGGAGCTGTAATATGTCGCAATGTTAATCAGCTTTAGAACTGTTGCAGATTTTGCAGGAAATGCGACACAAGGGCAGCATGCCTGGGAACACGATTAATTCTACTCTAGCCTCAGAGCTGAACCCTACAGCCTAATGCCCTGGACACTTCACTACTACATCACAAATAGGACGGTTTCTGGTCAAGTGGGGCCAGAATAGCTTTAAAAAGAAAGTTGGTTTGTGAACCGTTGGATGCAAGGAACCAGATGGTATGGAGCATTCAGAACATCACTTTTATGAGACGTTTCAGTTTGAAGCAACCACTAACCAACTAAGTTGTCAACGTGTAGAGATTTTTTATTTTTGTATACTCTTCTAAATCCAACACGTCGCCAACCGAGTGGAAAGAAAAACAGGATTGTAGCCTCGTCACAATCCTTTGTCTCGTCTGCAAAATTGATCGAAACTGACCCAAATAGGAATTACAGTTACCGCTACTGTCTATGACTATCATCAGTGTCCCTCCCTCCGGGAGACTCTGTTTGGAAGTTTACTGTTTCCGGAAGCTGTTTCAAGTGGCTCCCGACTTTAATGTTGATTGTTGGAGTAACTCACCTGAGGAACACATCGATTTGCAAGACACTAAGACATAATTTCGTGAAATACATCTCAAGGGGAGACAGGTTTTAAGGTTCAGAATGTATGAAGCACTTCTCCCACGACCTTCTGAAGGCCTAGTTGGCTTTATCCAAAATCCTCTTGATTCTCAACCTGGCTGCAATGAACACCATTTCGTAAGAAACTTCAATGCCACACTAATACTGAGTACAGTTCCATGGGTAGTCGAGAAGGTTTAGATAAATAAGTGAGAAGAGTGTAGAGTACGAAACCAAATACCTTGCAGAATCGGAAGTCTTGTGGAGACATAGTGTGATCTACACTAAAAAGCGTTTTAATTCTGTCGCTGGTGCACGGTACACTTGTAGAACACGTTCCCCAGAGCCCTAGCAATTTGAAACTTAAAATAAATTGACCTGAGTAGGAATTGAGAACATTAGACTTATGATATTCTATAATTCTGTTAAATGAAAACTATACAATAAGCACCAAATCTCAAACTTGATGCTGGTTTGCGAATATAGTGAGAAAGAGTGGAGATGGCACTGGTACTCACACACCAATTCATTCGACCTAGACGAGACTTTCGGATCCTTTTTGACTTGTTGGAAGAGAATCGATGGAGTGGTGATAGGTGCTCAATTGTGGCGGTGTATGCTGGAGACCGATTTGCTTCCCTGAAGAAGGCCTGTTGTGTTAGTGTAATTTGCAATTGTTTTCTAAGATGCTTGGGAAGATGAACTAAAACAAAGCAGACTTAACGCTGTTGATGAGGAAATGAACGAGTCTTCAGGTTCGAAGCATAAAGAAGGATTTGACGATGGCCGACTTCCATCATCTGCATTGCATAAATTAGTAGTTGAAGAGGTGGGATTCACATTGCAGGCATGGTTCTGGTGGTTGATTTGCTTCCCTGCATGTAAGCTGGTAGCTCACCGACACATGAATGTACCAGTTCGGTGCCGGTGCATTCTGTGATAGCAATCTTTGATTTTGCTGTGATACTGCAAGGTGAGGAGCAGGTTCAGTGAAGATTCTGAGTTTTCCTTGGGATCTTCCACAGCTTCATTCTCCCACTTCAAGAAAACAGTTCCCTGGCTCTTGAAGGGAGTCACAAGTGATGGAAAGCATCCTTCATATTCTAGACACACAGCAAAGTGGGTCGCACCCAAATGCTGCATTCCTTCACTTGCAGCTCCAGAACAAGAGCTCCAGTCTCTGGAAGTGACTCTTGGGTTACACCGAGATACACATTTCGATGAGAAAGTCTGTTTGCAAAACTATGGGATAATGAGCAAAATGCTTGGCTCAATGCACATGCTCACTGGGATTTGAGTGTGTGTGTGTGTCAAATTCTAATTAAGAATATGGATTTCAAGTGGTTGGTGTTTTCTGGTTTGGCATCGATTCTAATTTCAAATTGCACAATTCAATAGGATTAAAATTTTAAAAATTGATCTTATGGTGAAATAAATTTTTTTAGTTTTATAATAAGACATGATTATGTTAACATATAATTGAACAAATATTATGAATCTTGAACAAATTTGTCTTCTAATCTTTGAAATTGAAAACGAAGACATAATACAAATCTTCAACATTAGAAGTAAAACTCAACGTAAAAAATATTGCACAGAATAAAAATAAATAAAATACTGTTTCTAACGTTCCTTAAGTCAAAACCAAGCATACTACAATTATCTTTGATACTTGCATAGTATTATTTATTAGTTTATAAATGTATTTAACTTCAAACAAAATATCATTAAAATTATTTTTTTAAATAATTTATTATATTTTTGTTTTTATATAATTATTAATGAATATTTAATTTAAAAATTTATTTTATTTCATCTCTATCAATTTTGTAATAAAGATTAAAAAACTTAAAACCTCATTTTGACTTTACATCATTTTTGCTATTTTAATTTTTGAATATATATAAATATATATATATATATATATATATATATATATATATATATGTGTGTGTGTGTGTTTCCACATACATTAATTTTTTTAATAAAAATTTTAAATTCTTCTTCTAAATTTTTATAAAAATCACTTCTTAACACATATTTAGTTATCATAATTGAGTCAAGAAATTACGGTTAATTAAATGGACCAAAATAGGAATTTTTTTAAGACAATTTTTTGCTTCTTAGGCACATTAGATGCCATAAACATGAGACAAAAGAAGCATATTGTGTAAACACAAAATATGCTTTAGCAAGTGATAATAGAAGTGAGAGCATGTAAGTTTGGGATTTTTTTATTGATTCTCAAAAAAGTAAAAGAAAAATCTAAATGTAAATTTAAGTAGTACTAAAAGTAGTACTAAAGTTGTTGAATTAATAATTTATTTTCAAATGCACAATAGATTTATTTAATATAATCTATTAATTTATTTATTTATTTCATATTAACCGTGCTTGTAAATTTATGAAAATATAACTTATATAACATGATGTCTTTTGCCAAATGTTTATCTAAAAAAATTATGTAAAATAAAAAACTAATAAAAGAAACCTTTTTATAACATCATTTTAGTGGGTAGATTTGTGTTTTCTACCTTGAGCAAAAAAAACTTAAAAAATAAAAATGAACTTCACTGTTGTACAATAATAAAGTAAGTAATTTCACAAGATTATTAGAAAGAAAAATAAATTAATTGGTGTAGCTATTGACAAATTTTATAATAGAAATTTCATGTGTATGGAAGATCAGAAAAGATACAAGTATGTTCTTACTAATAATATTGCACCATGTGACTAGAAGAGTATATATATATATATATATATATATATTCCAAAACAAATAATCTAAAACCATGTTTTAAAAAAATCTGTAGGATGGTGAAATTGTAATTCCTAAAAAATATCATCTCTTGTTGCAAATTATACATGTTGCAAGATGATTTGAGTAAATATCTAATTAGAGTTCTTTTTAAATAATTGTGATGTATATATATATATATATATATATATATTCTTTAAAAGAATGTACTATAGTACTAAACATGAAAATTTAAAGACTATAATTTTGTATTCAACACCAAAAGAAATGAGTTATTTTAAAATAATGGCAAACAAATTAATGTTTAAAATAAACAGGAGAATTCAAAAAAATTAAAATGAAAGTAATAAAAACATACTTTAAAAATCTAAACTTCACTTTAATAACAAGTTAAATTTAAAAATGATGAAATATTAAGATAATAAATAAAAATATAATTTAGTTCTATAATACATTATTTGTATATTAATAATTTCAAAGCTTTAAAATAAGATAATATTTTTAATTCAAACATTATAAACATCAATATGTCTATTTATATTTACTCTTTTTAAACACCAGGACTTTTTTTAAAGATTACTTCCAAAATCACAAATACATTATATTATTCTGAAAAGTTATAATACATAATAATGTTTTTATATGTATAGTTTTATAAGAGTTAACTGACAAGTTGACATAAAATAAGTTGATTGTTATTTTCAGATGTCACGTTGTCTATTATAAAAGGTGTAGATGTATTGTCTCTAAACCAATTGCAAATGCAATTGGCAAATTCTGCATTACGTTATTTTAGTCGATTCTATGCTTACAGGTGGCATGTTTGAAGGCCCTGCTCAAATTTCTTTTACATATTTGGACCACTTCTAAATTAAAACCTCTTTTTTCCTTTTCAACTTTAAAAAACTAAATTGGTTATATAAATAATTCTGATTCTAATAAGTTTTTCAGCAAGAAAGGTTTTTGACTGTTTTAATAAATTTGATGTTATCTGTGTCGATTTTTGTGTCATTTCTTCAAGCTGTAAGTTTCAACTTATCAAATGTACTAATGAATGGGTCAAACTAAGATATCTTACAACGCTACACAAACGCAGGGCATTACTTTCAAGGTGAAGTAAATACCGCGTCTGGGCAGTGGAAGAACAGCATATAGGGGATCAACGCATATATGCTGAGGATACGTTCCTGAAAATTCACTGCAAAAATGCAGCATGAAAATCAATCGGCGTTGTTGATTGTTAAATTCAATCAGAGCAGATAATTCATGATTGTCGCATTGACGTGGTATACATATATATATATATATATATATATATATATATATAAGAGGAGTTGAAATATGCTTTAGAGGCAGCCTCTAAAGTATGCAGTACGCCAAAGAACTTGCAGACAAGCCACGGCTTCTCGAATTTAATAATTATCATTAACCTTTTAACTACTATGAAAAGCTTTGTACATTTACTTGCAATCTAGAACAAGACGGCTACTGGCGATTCCAAGCAGCGCCCCTTGCTGGTACGCTATCTACAAAAAATTGATGATTCTACCCCTATCACAACTAAATCAATGCAAATCCCTCAGGATATATTGAGACGCATGCAATAGGATACTATGGGCCATTACTCTCCCACACCTTAACAAATAGGAAAGGCAACAAACATTCCCATAGCTATACAATAATATACCAAACGTTCTCAAAAACTCACTCACCTTGCTTACTTAGTGTTTCAGTAACTAGGGAGGACCAATATGGCTTCAAAAAATTGATTAGCATGCAATTTGATGAGCCGTCGTCTCCCATGTACCATATGCAGTGGTAAAGCTGCCACCACCTTGCTGATGAGCATACTCAGTTAATGATTTTCGAGCACACTCATCCCAGCTAGTTGCAATGGAAGCAAGAGATACGGGTGGAGGCAAGCAACGGAGGTTCCTCATAAATTCCTCTCGTGCTCCCTTGAAACAATGGTGACTGCAGCAACCCGGAACTTCGCATCAGCACATTCTTACAATACTTCACGCGCGCGCGCGCACGCACGCACATATCTATATATAGATACATAATCTGCATGGCATCGGCTCCCAAATGCTATGACATGGCTATCAACGATGTACTTTAAATCCTGTACCAGTTCTGAAATGTCCATCATAAAGACAAATTATAACTTTATAATTTGTAGTGAGGAAAATAGAATGTGGAAACCGAAAATATTAACGAGAGCGAATTAAATGGAGACAAAAAAACAGGTACATTGATGGCTTACTTCGCTTGAGGGTTTGATTGATCAAACCAAATATCCGGAAAATGTACAGGGTACGTAGGTGGCACTGTCAAATACAGAGATGCCCTTGATACCTGTTATTCACAAGATTAATTCCTGATTGACAAGGGCTTACCCATCGCAGAAAGTATCCAATATAGTTCGCGAATCAGCAAAAACAGAAAATACTATTAAAACATCGATGACATTCATCACAAACAACCACTAGCTAGAGAAATTACCAGGGCATATTCTTTAGATTGAAGAAAAGATATATTTGGACTCAAGGCATTGCCCTTGTAACAACAAGAAAGCACAATGCCATTTCCGCCCTGTGCAGCATTCTCCTCTGTAGCCTCTGGGCTGACTTCAACAACCGTATCAATCAAGCGGCTATTGATGTCCCTTATCTCCTCCTCCAAACTAGCTGTAATCTGACACAAAGTAATAACCAAACCCGTAGCATTTATCATTCTGCGGCATCAAAAGAAAAATCATAAACCAAGGGAGAAACAAAGACAGTATTCACGCAAAACGGAACCCAACACTACCATTGTAGAAGATCATAAGTAAGAATTTCAACCTTCACCAGAGGGCTGTTGATATGTGAAACCATATGATTCTCAGCATCTGTGTTGTAGCAAGACCTGTGCAGAGTGTTGGAGATTGTTCCATCAGAAGATATCATGTTTAGAGCTATGGAATCTACACGTCGCCTCTTCTTTGAGACATTGCAATTATCGTGTGAGAGAGCTCGGGCCTGCATCGTTGATCTTGTCTTAGCTGATAGATCTTCCCCGATTGCAGCGCGAGAACCAGTACCTGGAGCAGAGGCTCCCAGTTTATCTCCACAGCTGACCATATCATTCATCTCATTTACCGCTTTCTTAAGGATTTCCCTTGGCATGGAGTCAACCTGGAAGATGTATCGCAAGCGAGAAGGTTCAGCACTTACTATTCAGATCAAGAAGAATGAGGCTGAGAATATGCTTTGCTCAATCATTATACGTTCAAGATACAAGGGAGAAGAGTAAAGCAAGTTGAGCAACACATGGAAAAGCAACGACGACGTTTAAAGAGGAAACTGTACCTTTCTCTTCAATCGCTCAAGCGGAGGTTCCGTTGAGTTGGTCTTATCCATAAGTGGCGTCCCAGGAGAAAACGCTTGGGCAGCATCATGAACCATCAGTAACTGGGCAGGGCTTGGGGACAATGTGTTCTCCATTAGTGGAGACACCGACATACCAGGAGTATTGATTGAACCGGACATACCAGGAGTGTTACGAATAGCTGTTTGGAAAGCCTGTACTGTGCCTGGTGTTCCACTGCTCGGGGCAGGTGTAAGACCCTTATGATCTGCATCGTCTTGAGTTGGCGTGGTTGGAAGTGCTGAAGGGGATGGTATCCGAAATGATTGTGGCGGTGTGCCCGTCTGAGAGTTCATCACAAATTTCGAACGGAAAGCGACGTCAGTATCGCTTCGGATCATTCAGTTACTAGGTAACTTCCATGATAAACAAGATGCGGTTCACATATTCCTTGTACAAGCTCTCAATAGTCCTACACTCCCCAGCGGCTATCACTAGAATTGGTCTAAATTTATCGATCTAGTTCCAACACAAGTAATATAAAATTACGCAAGAATTTCATCAAACAAGGAGCAGAGAACCAAAAATAGAACCTTATGCATCTGCATGGCATTAAAAGCTTGATCAGGTTGGGGCGACATCACTTGCGATATTTGAGGAGAAGTCACCAGTTGAGGAGATCCAGTCTTCTGAGACTGCTGTTGCTGCTGAAATTGCATGATATGCCTCTGTTTAAGTTGCTGTTGCTGCTGCTGCTGTTGTTGTTGTTGTTGTTGCTGCTGCTGCTGCTGCTGTAACAATGCCTGGACACCAAGAGCTTCATGACATAAACAGCCAACATATCCGGAAAAAATTGTGCTAAATACTGCCATAATTATCCAAGGGCAAGTCTTCCAACTCCCAAAGTTTCGAGAAGAAATAACATAACACGCAATGATGTTCACTCAGTATTGAATTTAGGATTGATCAAGTGATAGTGATATTTGGAGGACCAGGCAAAAAAGAAAACCACGAAATATTCGAACAGGTGATCGCTTTTAGAATACAAAACGGTGTATTTGTCATCTTCATATCTGCCTACCTATCTACCTTGCATCAAAGGACCTAAACTACGTCTTCGTACTATTTCAAAACGCCGCACGTCGGGGGGCTGGCATGGGGTTAAGATAATTAAGCAAAAAGTAGGAATTCAAATTGCACAACCCCTCCATTAAATAATAGCCTGTGAATACAGGGAAAGAAACAGCATGTACCTGCTTGACGGAAGCTTGTTTAGCCTTAAGGGAAGCATCTATCTTCACATCTGCATATGGATCTAGCAGTTGCTGTTGCTGTTGCTGCTGCTGCTGCTGTGCAAACGAATAAGAAAAGAGATCCAACATCACACACAGTTTCAAGATACGTTTGGAGCGTTAATACTCGCTCAATCAATACAATAATATTGTTAAAGATACTTATATCAGAGAAAGACAGAGCAATGTTGACGGACCTGCTGGGCTTGCAACGCTTGAAGCTGGGCAACCTGGTTCTTCTGGTGATTTTGCTGAATCTGACGCTGCTGTTGCTGTTGCTGCAACATTTGCTGCTGTTGTTGCTGCAGATTCCGTTGCTGCAGATCCTGTATTATTTTCACAGAATGGGACTGAAAAACCTCAACTAGCACTACACGAAAGAGCTCAATCTATAAGAGTGTCAGAATGGTGCCTAGAAGAGAAGGTTCCCAAAAACTAGAAATAAACGCACCTGCTGGATCATGCGCTGATGTTGGGCTTGCAGAAGCTGCTGCTGATGCTGCTCTTGCTGCTGCTTCAGAATCTGCTGCTGAAGTGCATTATTTTGATTCGGCAACGAAGTAACACTGCTACCATTCTGCTGTAACCCTCCGACCACACTTTGCTGTAATGTATTATTGAGGCTTTGCTGATAAGTATTCACCCCAGATTGCGAACTGACTCCGTCGGACTGCGGTAGGTTCATACCAGATTGCGAGGCATTGCCAGGTACATTCTGCAGAAGGAAAACATTGAAAGCATGCGACATCAGGCGTTAAATTGATGGTCTGCATTTTACAAGGGGTGAAATAAAGCAAAAACGATAAGCGCAAGGTTACAAATATTGCGATAATTCCATCAAGAATTTCGTTCTTTTTTCCCTCTATTAAAAGAGAATCCTAAAACTAATACTTTTGAATAAAAAACATAATAATGATGATATTTTATTTTCTATAAATATATGTATATGTATATATATATATATATATATATATATATATGCGAGGGAAGAGAAAGCAGCCTCACGACACATGCATGCCAAATGTACCACACCCAATAAATATCAGAAGACTTTCTAACAGAAACTTACGGGATTCGCCGACAAGCTGGTCAGTGCACTTTGTCCCATTGACCCTGTACTGCTTGTGGGCATTGCAGCTCCAACAGACTGTGATGTAGGCACCACAGTTGTTTGCAACGGGGCCCCTGCAAGCGTCTGCTGTAAGGTCCCTGGATTTTGTTGAAGTGATGTTAGTGCATTATTAGTGGGCTGGATCATGGTTCCTGCAGCCTGTGAACCTATCCCAGCCAGCTGATGCTGAACCTGCTTCTCTTGCTGCATCTGTGAAAGAAGCTGCTGCTGATGCTGAAGTTGCTGTTGATGCTGCTGCTGCTGAAGTTGCTGATGCTGTTGCTGATGCTGTTGTTGTTGCTGCTGCTGCTGCTGCTGAACTAATTGAATTCCTTGGCTATTACTTGGAATTTGTTGAAGTGGTTGACCATTCTGCAGCTGTACCCCAAAGACAGACTTAACATAGCTAAACATGTCCGGTGCCACAAAGTCCAATCCAGGGCCAATTAAGAAAATAAGATAAAAACAAGGGATAAGTAAATAGGAATCGACTAGATAAAATACCTTCAAGTTACATTTGAAGTTTACTCTACATGCCCATCAAGTAATCTCAGTTGGGTACACAAATTGAACAGTATGATTGGGTTGCAAATTACCATTTGAGATGGCTGTTGCTGTGATGCTTGCGCCATACTAACTTGGTCAGGATGCTGAGCAGGGACTGCCTGAGCTGGTGTCTGTTGTGTAGGAGGCGGACCGGAAACAGTAGGCCCAGCAGGTAGGGGTGCTTGGGGCTGCCGTCTCTTCTTGAAAGTTTCCATAATACTCACAATTTGCTTTTCAAAAGCATCCACTTTATCTTGATTGAACTCTTTAGGTACTCTGTCTTTGGGAACACGCAGGTAGGGGATCATTCGATGCAGGACATCTTTGTAATGCTTCAACTTTTGCAATTGCTCAGCAGGCATAGGCTGCCACACAGATGTAAGCCTTCAGTCATAAATTATACGATTCCTCAGAAAAATTGAATTGGAATTATTTCTGATATTGTAATTGTGAAAACTAAATTTAAAATTCCTATGATGGCATTTCATCAGTGTCACTTAACATGGATGGAATATAATTACTTTTTAATGTCTTGAACATTACTTGATGATGCGTAATTTTACTTAATAGATACGAAAAATTGAAATTTTAATTTGGTGACTTCGTTGAATAGGATTCTAAGGGAAAAAACTGAATACCTGAGTGCTACGAGTCGAAAGCATCCTAAACAACTCGGTCATATCTTGCAGATACTTATCCTTCAAAAGTTGAAGCTGTGCAACCACACCAACCAAATGTTATTTACAAAATGCAGGTGCGTACAACAGCAACAAAGCCTCAAAACAGCCCACTTTTAACTACTTGCAAACGCCCATCTAGTAAGTTCACACAAGTTTACAAGTACCTTGTTCCAGACAAGTTCACGTTGATCTACATTCCCTGCAGCAGCTCCTGTAGGCCCAGATTGAGCTGATGACTCAACAGATGCTGCAATTAAAGATTGGAATTTTCCAGCATATGTCAATATCAGAATTTAGCTATCAAAATCACTTAAGATTTCATCAACCAACACTAGTCATGTAGATACACAACAATGAATAACAAGCCAAGTTCGCAAACCTCCCCCATTAGTCCCTAACAACAAAAACGACTCTAAAAAGATTCTCTGAACAAGCATTCCATACATATGCTTGAAGCAGAAGAAACCTGCAATGAAGGTCACAATCACTGTAAAGCTCGGCATTCTCATAGCTTGGCGTCTCACAAAAATTCAAGTTTTACCATCGCCATCGTGTGAAGAAAGATTAGTTTTCTTAATGGGCTAAAAGAAAGAATGCAGCTACACCTGTAGAAGTGTCAGGAATGGCACGCTGTTGTTGAGCTTGAAGTAGCATGTTTGTCTGCTGCTGCTGTTGCTGCTGTTGTTGTTGCTGCTGCTGCAGGCCGCCTGCATTTTGTGCAACCCATTTTTTAGTACGATTTCAACTGCTAAATGACATAATGTCAAAATAAACCTGCAATTAAAACGGTTCCTACTATCTCACCAGATAGAGCTATCACACAGAACATAATATCATTCCTCTTCCACTTCAAGAACCCATGATGCGCTTTATTGCCAGATGATTTCTACTGAGACTTTAAGAAGGTAAAGTCAGGCATTTCTAAACAGCGAAGCAAATAAAAGAACAACCCACGTTATTATACTATGAGTGTCCATCAACCAAATCAGAAAAATCTGACTAAACGGTTAAACTACCTGACTGTCCAATACGCTGCTGCGGTTGTTGATTTGACCCAGACTGCTGCTGTCCAAGTTGACCCTGCTGTCCAGGCTGCTGACCAATAGGTTGTGATTGTTGCGACTGTTGCGATTGAGTAGGTGTAGCAACCTGCTGCTGCTGAGATTGCTGTTGTTGCTGCTGCTGTTGCTGCTGCTGCTGCTGCTGCTGCTGCTATTTAGGTAACAGATTATCAGCATACCACAATATCAATGTCATTGTTCCACTACAACCACTCAGGGAATCTTCTCCACCAAAGAACGGAAGCATGGCACAACAAACTATAACACTTACTTGCAGCTGGGCTTGCTGCTGCTTGGATTGCATCATCTGCTGTTGAAGCATCTGCTGCTGCTGCTGCTGCAGCGCTGCATTGTTTTGATTCATGAGCTGACTTACAGGTTGCTGTTGCTGTTGTTGCAAAGAAGAAACCTGATAAAATATATCATTTGTATTCATAGATAGCAATAATGAAAGATCAAATGCATATTATTATCACAAACCATGATTCATCGTCATGTACCATACGTTCTCAAGTCATTGTAATCGACCAGGAAACAAATAACGTTTCCAAATATTCTAAACTCAAAAAACTTGCATATTTCATTACATCAGTTGTTTAAAAGAAACACAAAAAATGATGTGAAGATTGACAAGATTCCTTAACCGGGATGAAACTATGATTTACAGACAGCCAAAAAGAAGAGGAGGAAGAAGAAAGATACGCTCCTAGATGGAAACCACCAAACAGTGCCTATGGAATGATTAACCTTGAAACAACAAACTCCTTTCAAGGCTTTACTACAGCTACTGCCTTTTTCTAAAGATTAAAATATGTAATACGCGACGATCTCACCTGTTGTTGTTGCTGCTGCTGCTGCAGCGATTGGTGCTGTTGGTGCTGAAGAAGTGACTGCTGTTGCAATTTCTGCTTCATCATAGCTTGGTGTTGCTGCAGCCTTTGCTGCTGCTGATACAAAATTTGTTGTTGTTGATTGTTCTGATCCAGCCAACCATCATTGCAGCTTTAAATAACAGAACCAAGCTTCAAACGCCTTATCACATCTTTTATTACACACTTTCATGCCTCACAAAGTTGCATGCGTTCGCAAGTGGACCTATGAATTAGCACTACAAAGCCGTTTTACACCCATTCGCCAATCGCAGTTTGCGATGATGAACGACAGATGGCGGAATGAAATGAAAATGAAAACGAAAAAAAAACAAAAAAACACCAAAAATCATCCACACCCTCAAAACTTATGTCTGGAAGTCATCTCAGATGGAAAACACAAAAAAACTAAATGTACTCCACGGCCCCATTGAACTCGTTACAAACGGTAAACGAACCATAAAATGCAACTGCCTGATACACGACAAGCAATCTAAACTCCAGTTCTGACAAGACTTGACTGACTATGAGTCTTCACAACGACCTCACGCTCAACTATACGCATGCTCCGTAAACCCCCGGATGTGCTCGTCGGTAATTCCATTCATAATAACACTAAAAAAAAAAATTTAGATAAATGGAAGTTATTACAAAGAATAAGTCCAATGACTTCGGACATCCTCAACCGCAATTAAGATTCTCAATCTGGAAAATCATGCCCATGACACCAACCAATACCCTCGAGGAGGAGAAACAGCAGTAGAATGTGCATACCTGCTGCTGCTGCTGCGAGACTTGCTGCTGTTGAACAGCTTGTCGCTGCTGCTGTTGCATTTGTTGTAGGCGATTATTCATCATCGTCGGATTCATGACTTGACCAGCCATGGCTGCCATAGGATTCTGAGGCACACCGGTCATTGCGGACAGATTAGAGGTCAGCCCAGTGGCAGGGGTTTGAATGCCGCCGGCTCCGTTGCCCTGCAAAGATTGTGTCAAAAGCTGCTGCTGCTGTTGCCGCTGCTGGAGCTGTTGCTGCTGCTGGTTCTGGCCCCCGAGCTGGACCCCGTTACCCAAAGCAGCTACACTTCGCATCTGCAAACCACCTGTTCCCGGTGCTCCAGGCGCTCCCGTTGCTCCCTGTGCTCCTGGCGGAGGTCGTTGGAGCGGATTGCCGTTGGCCTTAGTCTCAAGGGACAGCATCTTCAGCGAGATCTTGCGAAGATAATCTTGCTGCAAATAAAAAAGACATCAGACTGTGTCAACATCTGTTTGCTCCTTACCACGCATGTATTCAGTCACCCTGTCATCGATGACTGCATACATCTTGAACATCATAAATACCCACTTGCTGTATATAATCCCCAAGTATACAAAACCAACACACGACACAAACTCTCTCTGTTCATTGACCAAAACTCTATCTCAACTCTCTTTCAAATACCTGATCCGTTGCTGCTTGGAAGATCTTCTCTTCAAATCGCCAAGCGATCTTCAGCAGTTCTTCGACCCCGTCTTGACCTGCAACTGGCATGTGGCGTTGCAACGTGTCCATGCTGTCAAATAGAACAGCAACCAACTTTTTAGAACTTACGCACCAACCTAAAGCCGAATTTTACCACTCACATCCACGGAAACGTCCATACATGCTGCCCACAAGAATCTACGCATGTCAGGGTCAGTGCAACATGTCGTCCTACTGGAACACGTTAGCCCTGAAATAACTCAAAACAAAATTGTACACATCTTGTTGCACTCTAATTAGCTCATCACAGTGACCATTTCACATCCTAGAGTACACCAACGCGGGTACATACACGAGAGTATATGCGACACGGATGCGGTTCACAGTTCGCATGCTTACATTCTTTTCACTATTTTTTGACGAGAATCATGCGCCAAGGACGAACGCCAAGAAGAGTTGTCCATGTTGGCCTTGTTCACTGCGATCTGCTCCCTAGTAACACTTGGAATAAAGAGTTGTTCCTTAACGATTGGGCACTAATTCAAGCGAAGCACCCACCTGATCAACACCACAAACAAGTTTCTCCAGATGAATTAGAACTGACACAAAATATGAACCCTCAGAGACTGAATGTAAAATATGCAAGGGTTTGCGCCATCTTGCCGAAAGATTATTACGCTTTGAAATTATCAGAATCCAAGCTGGTAACTTGTAGGGGTTCTGGGTACTCTGGATTCCGATACCATTTCGAGGCAGTGATTCGGGTGATTTCTAATGTAATCATCTGTTGGTGCACAGGAACTATTCCCAATTCCCATTGACTCATATCAACCTTGCATCAACTCTCTGTGAATTTCGCGATACGTTAAACACACTCAACCTCTACAGAATTGAGAGTAACTGTATGACTTCTAAATGCAGCGCACAATCAGCAGATCCAATTAAACACGACCGTGCTCGTTAATGCTTTCCAATTACGAACGTAAAAATGGGCAAAATTGCGCCGCACCTTCCCTTGGCCAAGCATACCAGAATTCCTCTAAGCCAAAACCCTAGCGGCACCAAATTCCCTGACAAATTTCCTTTTTAAAATCAGTAATACACTCTCTTCCGAGACTGCGATTTCACAAACATGGAAAGAATCTACAGGCGGCACGGAAAATACCGACAGACATATGCACCTGCTCCCGTCGAATCCTGTACCACTCCCCCGACTGCTTGTCCCCAAAATCCTGCCCTTAGAATCACCGCCTCCTCCACAAGCGCTTCTGAACATTGACCACTCAACCCTAATCACCTTGCTAACGCTTCACAAGCCACCGCCAACGCCACCAGGATTCGCACCAACGCAAACCCCACGAAATACAGAGGAAAAATTCACCCCGCGTCTCGCCACCTGCTGCTACTCCGCCCCTCTGTGGTCGAATTTAGCCAAGCTGTGAATCATCACGAGGCGTGCGACTTGATTCGTGGGAAGGGAGCGAGGAGCCGGCACAGCGCGAGAGACGCAGACTGAGGCGGAGCTTGTCCAAAAGTCCTTTTGCAAGAGCGGGGCTCGTGTCCGAGTCTCCCACAACCACAACAGAAAGCAATCGAAGCCCAGGAAGGAGTAAAATAAGGAAGGGAAGCACAGCAGGAAGGAAGTAAGGACGAAGAAAAAGCCCTCGACGAAAACTGACGACGAAGACATGGCGATCGACGACAACAATGGTTGGAACCCTGCCAGCGTGGATGCCAACCTGGCAAGGGAACCCCGGGTATATGATAACTCACGGTATTGACAACCGCCGGGTATTTTGCCACATCCCATCGTGGTCTCTTCTCACAATAATTAAACAACACTTAGCTAGTGCATGTCTACAGTTTTCATGTCATGCTTTTCATATCATACCAATCAGAATATATGATGTTCAATGTGTTAGATTTAGTGAAAATATGTATTTCGCTCAAATAATTTGTTTATATGTATAAATTTTAAAAAGAAAACAAGAACAAATATGTTTTTTTCCAAACGGATTGCATATTTCTTAATCCAATTTCTAAGTTTTATCTTTTTTTTGTTTGGTACTTTGACAAGATTTAAATATTGGAATTTATTGTCTAATTATAGTTCTTTATTCTTAAGAAGAGTGCAAAGCTTGAAAACCTTCTATTTGTTATGTTGGTTTTCTTTTATAACCCAGTAAAGTTAAGTGTTCCTTTAATATTTAATATTTATGAACCTTCAACTAGAAGACTATAAAAATCAAGTGATACTATAAAAATATGTATACAGATATAAATGAAAATCATAATTATATCTGTACATAAAGACCTTTACAGTTAACACATAGAAGTTTGCTGTAAAACTGATCATTAAATCAAAATCAGCAGTAGTATATTTTGAGAAAAATATTTATTTTGTAATAGTTTGAAACTTTTATATTCCATAGATTAAAAAAATACATATATCTTTGGATTTTTATTAATCTCAGAAATCACAAAAAATATATAAACTAATTTCTAGAATTAGTCCAATTTTTTAATTCATTGTTTACATGTTCGTTTCTTGAAATTTTGGTTTTTTTGGAAGTCAAAATTACATAAAACAAAAATCATCGAGAATGAATCACATTGATTATGATTCCTAAACATACATTACTGAGATATGTTTAAACATTGAGATAAAAACTACGTACATGATTTAAATTTCAGTTTAATTTTGTGCTGGTTTTCTGTTTCAAAATATAAATTTTGTATCACTTCGTGCATTGTATTAATTGATTTATATATATATATATATATATATATATATATATCTTCATGTGTATATATATACATTTATAAATACCTTATCATTTTACATCATGTAAACTTTTTCAGAACAAACCCATTAAAAATATATTTCTTACAAATTAAAATTTAATGTAGTTGGAAATCCTGAAGTATTGACATGGCATGATCTGTTTCTGATAAGCTTGCATTTCAAGTTGTAATTAAGTGATTTGAAGAAAACATTATTTTGACAATACTTATACTTTATTAAGTAGGTTCTACCCCACACATCAGTAAAACATACCCTATCAATGGTTTTATACTTATATTATTTCTCATTGTAATTTGTATGGTATACTGTCTTGATATCTTTATTTATTATTTCAAACTATTAATGAAGAGATTTTTTTTTATAGTACACAAACACTCTATTTATAGACAGATTCTTCACTTGAGCACTAACAAATTGTTTGCCTAAAATCATGCTATTGTTACGTCTTTGTTACGAGTGACAGAAACTCTTCAGATTACCACCATCTGCAATGCTCCACTTCAGGCTGGAAATATGGTGATCTGCAGCTTGTTTAAACACTATCATCTTCAAATAAATAATTCCGCATATTAGAGGATGAGTATTTGCATAGATGTAGAGAATAAAACGGAATATTGATAGAATAAGAGAATTGTTGGGTGCACACCTCCCTTTCACTACATAGATACTCCTCCTTAATAATCTCATAAGATATACAATTTTTTGAATATAATAAAATTTATTTTTATTTTTATTTTCTTGCACACACACAATTTCTAATTACATACATAATAATAATTTTTTAAATTTTTTTTGTGTAAGACACAAACTATATAAAATTCAAAATGATCAAGATACAAGCACTTACATTGGATGGTCTATATGTGGTGCACTGGTGATGCAAAGCCCATTTGAACATAAGTTACGAAAAGCAATGGTTCTTTAGACTTTTATTCTAAAAAACTATTTTTATTAATTATATTGTTTTTTTCTTCTTTTGTAAATCTACAATACTCAAATTAGTGTAAATCATATTGATCTTATTGCAAGTTGATCATATTATACTTATTGTAGAAAATTAGAATGCATTTTTTTTTCTACACAATGTAAATTTTTTTTTCTCCTTAAATTTGTATTAAGTCTACTTTAAAGTGTAATTTTTATGAAAAGTTAAAAAGATGTATTAAAAGTTCCTTAACATATCCATTAGAGAAATTAAATCATTTAAAAAAGGATTCCTAAAATTTTCACAATTAAAATATAAACTATAGTATTTAGAACTATAATAAAACAAATAATTTGATAAATACAATAGCTTCTTCTCACTTTACATAAGCTGCAAAATCTCCAAAACTCAAGGCTTTTAAAGAAAAAATTGTTTTTTAGATAAACAAGAAGATATCAAAGATGATTTAGAGAGTCTTTCTATCTAAAAGACCACTTTAAAAGGGCATGGTTCAAAATCCTTTCCAAAATTCCTACTTGGTAAAAAAAAAAAAAAAAAAAAAAAAAAAACCTTCTTTTTAAAAGCTTGACTTTTGAATATAGTATAAAGTAAAAAGAAGCTATAAAATACATCAAATCTTTTCTCAGGGCTTTTGGTTTAATTTTTTTGAATATAGAATTAACTAAACAAGACTTCTCAATGTTAATCAATTAAATAATTTAATAGTTGTGACTTCATACCTTATCTTCTAAGTATAGAGTTTCCCTCAATTCCTTCAATGTGTACAATACAGTGTACTCCTTTGTCTTATCCTAATTGTTTCAGATTTCCTTTTTTAAAATATATAAAAGTAAAAATAACAAACAATGGAGTATCTAAATTATACTTACGTTTTTTTTTGAATATTTTTATACCAAATCATGTTAGATGCCTAAAAGATTAGTTGAATGCACTTATGCTTGAATTTAATCATGTGATTTAAAAATAAAATAAATAGAGCCTGAATTTTCGGATTATTCACAATCAGAAGTTTTGTAAAAATATAGTGTTTTATGATATTGGTAAAATGAAAGCTTGTTTAATTTCTTTTATAGCTTCAATATTTAATAATGGCTGGTAATATTTTCAATGATTCAAAAAATTATAATTAAAAAAATAACTAAAAATCTAATGTTTTAAAAAAAACGTCTTAAATTAAAATTCATACAACAAAACGTCATAGATCATATGTATAAAAGATAGATATACTTTATTTTATATTTTAGGTATTTGAATTAAATCTGCAATATTTTTTCTTAGCAATTTTTGAGATTTTTATAAATACTTTTTAACATTAGAATTAATATTTTGCATTATACCTATGAAAAATTTAATTAATGTTTTTTTATTCTTAAATACTAATTTATTAGTATATTCATAAATTAAATTATAACATATTTATTTTGCATTTTATTCATATAAATAAGTCAATAAAAGTTATATCTTCAATTCTTTATGTGAAATTTTATTGTAAATTTAAAAATTATAAATTTTTTATACAATAATGGACTATGTGTTTGTTTCTAATAAATATCATAAACACAATCTTCTATTGTATATACACAATACAAAAATCTATGAAATTTTTTTATTTCAAATTTAAAACTATCAGAATCAATATGTATACTAACATATATATATATATATAGATAGATAGATAGATAGATATGTATATTCTTCTTTAGTATTCAATATTATTTTCTAGTACACTACATAATTAAAAATAAAAAAGATGTTATAAAAGATTTTAAAACTATGGTGATAAGAACAATAATTTAAAATTATTGTAATATGGTAGTGTAAACAACAGTAAAGATACTTAGAGATACTCTTCAAATAAATTAAAATATAATTTTTTAAATCTACTATTATATTCTATTTCTTTAAGACAATTGTAAATATTACCAAGAAAATAAGAAAATAAGAAATAAAATCTAAAGTTATTATTTATTTTATCAATATTTTCTTCTTGGTCTTTTTGATTTAAAAAAGAATGGATACTATAATTTACTTATATATTTTTATGATCAAATATTATTATATTAAATAAAATTAATTAAATTCTTAATTAGCAATGAACTATTTTAAAGTGGTTTAAGTATAATATTATTCTCTCCAACAACAAGATAATGAATTTATTCTGATGTATTTATAATTAACTTGTAAATTAATATATATTCACCTAAAAAACATATAATAGTTTTCAAATTGTAAAAAAACAATAGATTTTTATGGATGGTTATAATTGTAAATAGAATGTATAATATATTATCACATACTTCTACTTAATATAATTAAAAAACTATTGTTAAACAGATCTATATATTCTAATAATCTTAACTATTTACATCTAAACCATCTTAGACTAATTACATATGTATTTGTATTTTTATATATATATATATATAGTTTGAATCTTTAAATGATAATTATCTGATTAATAATATTATATTATAGTATGATTATAATATTTAATTTATTATACATAGATTTTATTTTAAATTATTACATTAATATATTGTATTATTTTCAAAACCAATAAAATATTTTAAACTTGTGCAGTTGAATGATAATATATAAAATTTATATCTTTAAATTCAAATTGATTTTTGCATTGGTAGGTTAATGAGACGTTTTTAAGGTCCTCATTAATATAAAGTAAATTCATATGGATTTAAGCAATATATATGTGCAGCACATTAAATGAAAATATCTTGTATTATGTATAGTATGAGTTTGAATGGTTGTTATGATAAAAATGTAAAGTACAAAAGTCAATATAATTTATTGATTTTTTAAATAATTATAAATATAATAATGATGTTTCT